TCGCATGGGATATCAAAGGTACCATCCGATGAGTTCCACATTCTGTTGGGTCACCTCTTTTTGGAATGGGCACAAATACAGATCTCTTCCAATCAGTTGGCCAGATAGTTGTCTTCCAAATTTCTTGGCAGAGATGAGTGAGTGCTTCCTGTGCTGCCTCACTTTCTTGAAAGATTTCAATTTTTATTCCATCAATTCCTGGTGCCTTGTTCTTTGCCAGTAAGATTGTTTGCCCACAGACTCCTTCAATACCACAAATCATGTTTTGAATTTTTTCTTCAGCTTCCTCAGCTCAAGAAATGCTGAGTGTGTTCTTCCCTTTTGGTTTTCTAATCCCAGGTCTTTGCACATTTCATTATAATATTTGTCCTTTGGAATTTTCTCAAGCTAGTCTTTGAATTTTTCTATCTAGGTCTTGTACCTCCTTATTTTTTCCATTTGTTTTAGCATCTCTATGTTGGAGAGTAAATTTCATAGTCTCTTCTGATATCCATTTTGGTCTTTTCCTTCTTTCTTGCCCTCTAAATGACCTTTTGTTCTCTTCCTGTATGATGTTCTTGATGTCATCCCACAAGTCTTCCTGTCTCTAATGCATCAGATCTTTTCTTCAGATGATCTCTAAATTCAGGTGGGATATGTTCAAGGTCATATTTTAGCTCTTTTGGGCTTGTTTTCATTTTCTCAGCTTCAACCTGAACTTACATATGAGCGATTGATGATCTGTTCCACAGTTTGCCCTGACCTTGTTTTCATTATTGTAATAGTTTCTCATTCTCTTTCCACAGATACAGTCAATACAATTCTGGTGAGGTCCATGTGTATAGTCGTCTTTTATGTTGTTTAAAAGTATTTGCAATGAAGGAGTCATTGGTTTTGCAAATTTCTGTCATGCAATCACCAGCATCATGTTTATCACCACAGCCATATTTTCCAACAAATGATCCTCTTTGTTTCCAACTTTTGTTGTCCAATTGCCAGTAATTATCAATACATCTTGATTACATGTTTGATCAATTTCAGATTGAAGAAGTTGGTAAAATTCTTCAATTTCATCATCACTGGCTTTAGTGGTTAGGTCTTGGATTTGAATTATAGTGGTATTAACTGGTCTTCCTTGTATGCATATTGATATTATCCTATCACAGGCAGCATTGTACTTCAAGACAGATAATTGATATGTCCTTTTTGATGATGAATGTAACTCCGTTCTTCAATTTGTCATTACCAGCATAGTAAGCCATGTGGTTATCAGACTCAAAATGGCCAATACCAGTCCATTTCAGCTCATTAATGCCTAGGATATCGTTCCATTTCGTTGTTGACAATTTCCAGTTTTCCTAAATTCATACTTTGTACATTCCATGTTCCGATTATTAATGAATGCTTACAGCTGTTTATCTTCATTTTGAGTTGTGTCCCATCAACAAATGAAGGTCTCGAAGGCTTTACTCCATTCATGTCATCATGGTCAACTCTACTTTCAGGATCTAGCTCTTCCCGTTGCATTTTAGTGCCTTCCAACTTGAGGGACTCATCTTCTGGCTCTGTATCTGACAGTATTCTGGTGATCTTCATCATGTTTCAATAGTCAATATTCTGGTGCTATCTGACAGTGTTCCACTGCTAGTCATAAGGTTTTCAGTGACTCAGTATCTGGCAATAGTCTGTTTCTCCTTCTTCCTAATCTGGCTTCATCTGGAAGGTAATCTGAAACTCGTCTACCACAGTTGACTGTGCTGGTATTTAAAATACTAGTGGCATAGCTTCCAGAATCACAACAACAGTCAAGCCACCAGAGTATGACAAACTGCCAGACAGATGGTGGACACCAATATAACCATGTTCGGAAGCCAGAAAGGGAAGTCTCTGTCAGTTAGATAGGTTTCCCCGGAGAAATGAGCAGATGCAAATCACAGCAGGACAATGGGAATGGAATTTAATCTGGCATAGTGCCCTGCCTAACCCTGTGGTTTGCAGTCCAGTGCTGATCCTACAGCATCACATGTAAAGACAGAACTTGAACCTAGGTGCTATCCAAGAGGTAACTAATGCTTATTCTCTTTTGCTGCTTGCTTATTCTTAAAGAAAGATTATAGAGCTATCTCAAATGTGGTTGAAGAGCAAAGCTGCAAAATAAGTAATTAACTTATGAAACAAGGACAAGCAATTATGGGGAAAGTCTAAAAAGCTTAAAATGTCATGATTGAAATAAATTGAACATGAACACATGATATGAAATAAGTGGTTGGATATAGTTGAAGGACTAAGTACTAGTAAATTAGAGTAGCAAAACTGAAGACAATGAAAATGAGAAGGACTGTCAATATCAGCCAAGATGGAATAACAGGGACCAAATACACTATCCTACTTGGAACAACCAACAAAACCTAGAGAAAACATTAAACAAGTCTTTAATACTTTAGATATCAGGCTGTAGGTGATCTCTGAGACGTGGGAAACAGTGAGCTATGTTTGTGTCACAGTTTACTGCCTTCCGAGAGTTCAGAAAGGGGAACCCAGTCAGAGCCTGGAGAACACCCTGAGTTGTTCAGGGACAAAGGCAACTAGAGGTCACAGGGCAGAGTTTTGCATGTTAGGTGCCTTTGAGTTGATTTTTATTTACAGAAACCCTTTAGAGGAAAGAGTTCCATAGAGAACTCTGAATCTTCCTGGAATCATCAGCAAAGCATTGATAAGCAAAAAGGAGTGTGTACATTTGTATAAACTACCTGAAGCTGACGAAAGAATTCTTATAAGGATTAGTGGTCATGAGGTTAAAAACAGTGCCTATATGCACTAGCTGGAATGGGAAACGTCATAATTCATGAGACATTGAATAATCAGTAGAGTGTTACTTCAGTAGTGGGACTTATTAGCCCTAGACTAAACAAAGCTCTGAACAGGCATACTAGATGGTAAAAGAAAGACTCCAAGGGATCAAACTGTTTGTAGAGAACTGTATCCCATTCTAGAGCTCAAGAATATAGGAATACAAACTAGCTAGCACCCAGCAATGTAAAATTTACGTTGTCGGCATCCAATCAAGGATTACCAGGTATATAAAAAGTTGAATACAACCCATGATGAGAAAAATCAACCAATCGAAACAGATCCAGACAAGGACATTAGGACTGTATTTTATATGCTCGGTAAGTGAAATGAAGACATAGATAATATGTAAAGACTCGTGTAGAACTTTCAGTGATGAAAATTGCAATGTTAAAAATTAAAAAGTGAGAAGAGCCAGTCTCATGAGTACTGTAAAAAAAAATTTCAGGACAGACTTAAATTAATAAATAATTTAATATTGTTAAATTTTCTCAATGAATGGTAAAACAATAGATCATTCAATAAATAAGACTGAGGCAGCTGGCATATTGCGAGTTAGATCCGAACTCTGAGTGGTTAAAGTAAATATTTAAGTGTCTAAAGAGGGAAGAAGAATAAACTTTGCAAACATATGTCAGGGGAAAATGATAAATAGCAAATTGACATTTGAGATGAATTGTAAAGCACACCATAAGAAGCATCCAGTATGTGATACAATAGTGAATAATTGTTATCAGAACTGATTGTGTGGGTTGGAAATGTAAAGGTAGACGTTTTGTAGCAAGGAAGGGAGTGATTAACTTTGCAGTCCAGGAGCGGAGGTCCCTGGGACCATAAAGGGAGAGGATGGGAGAGCGGGACCCTAACCAGAGAAGCAGTGATGCCTAAGATGGAGACAGAGACAATGATGTGGAGAGATGGAGAAGTTGGGGACTTTCGTCCCAGAGAGGGAGAAGGGCTGTGTGCTGACAACTGGGGGGCAGGCTTATAGTGTATACCTTTTGATTGGTTGATGATGCATGGAGGGGATTGTAACCATGACAATGAAATGATATATGATAGGATGAATGTAAAGCTAATGTTCTCCCATGTAAACTATCACATAATTCAGAATAAAACATTAAAATTAAAAAAAGCATCCAGTATAACAAAGTTCAGTGAAGACGTATTTACATCCTGTATAAGGGATTCCTGGAAAATGACTTTTGGAAACGTGTTATCTATGCTCTTCTTAAATGCCATCAAGTTGGTTCTGACTCACAGTGACCCTGTAGAGGATTTCTGAGGAGCAGCTTATGGGTTTGAACTGCTGACCTTGTGGTTCACAGTCAGTGCTGATCCCTTAGCACCATACCAGGAGTCTATATATTATCTGTGCTAGTGTTTCTCAAACTATCCATCTCACACACTACTTTCATAAGCTGTATTAAGATGATTAGTTTAAAGATGAGATTAAATGTTAATTCTAATTTTTATTATTAGATTCAACAGACATAAAATACTTTGTGAAGTTGTTTTAAAAATTTCCAAACACTATTAAAGCCTTGTTTTTGCTGTTGCGAAGTCATCCAGTCAGGTCTGACTCATAGTGAACACTGTATAGACTGTAAATCTTTACAGGATATAGAAGTCGCATCTTTCTCTCACAGAGTGACTAGCAGGATCAAACCACTGACCTTGTGGTCTAGTGCTTCTACAGAGCCACCATGCTCCCTATTACAGCCTTAAATATGTATATTATTAATGAGCCTTTCTGTCTGTATGAATTTATCCTACTGAAATTAAATTTAGATTATGAAAATGCTTGTTACAATATTGTTTTTATGGAGAAAACATGAACAAATACTATTAAGATACTATAGTAATTAAGTAAAGTATGGTGTTTCCATAAGTAAAAATGCTAGACAACTTGGTGAGATGAAATGTAGTAAAATACTAAATGTAATGGTGAAACATTGAGAATAATATTTTGATGGGTAGAAATTTTGGTAGTTATTCAGTGAGTGGTAGAATGTACTTCAAGATGTTAGCAGCAGTTATGTGGAGGAAAATTATAAATTTTTAAGTTTCTAGAGTTAAAGGCAAAACTGTATTGCGAAGTACTGTATTCCTTTTTAAAATGTAAGCTTTTTTTGTTCATTTCCTAAGTTTTCTCTATGCTTTTTTTTCAGTTCTACTTGAGATTTCAAGAATTTTAAATACTGGATTAGATATGGAAACTCTGTCTATATGTGTACGGCTTTGTGAACAAGGAATTAACCCAGAAGCTTTGTCATCAGTTATTAAGGAACTTCGCAAGGCCACTGAAGCATTAAAGGTTAGAGACTTACGTTAAGAAAATTGATAGTGATGAGATTTTTTGAAAGAGCTTTGTTAAGGTTAAACTAGCGTCTTATACTGTAAGAAGCAATCTTGAAGACCAAGAGTTTAATAGCATACGTCCAGATTACCAAAACTGTTACTATCCTGGCCTTTTTTTAAAAAGATGGATCTCCCTTAACAAAATGAGCTATTTTTAAATGCACAATTTAGTGACCTGTAGTGCATGTGCAGTGTTGTTCAATTACATCTATTTTCAAACATTTGCATCACCCAAAAAGGTATACCATATACATTAAGAAGTTCCTCCTCATTTCCCCCCTGCCCTCATCCCTGGTAACCATCAAGCTCTGTTGTCTCTAATGAATTTACCTATTGTGGATCGTTCATATAAAGGGAATCATACATTATGTAATCTTTTATGTGTGGCTTCTTTCACTTAGCTGAATGTTTTTACGAGGTTCATCCATACTGCTGCACTCTGACTCATACCCACCCTCTATATGGTTTCTGAGAAGCAGCTGGTGAATTTAAACCACCGACCTTTCAGTTTAATCCAACTATCCTACAGCAGTATTGTCAAGTCAGTTTGGCTCAGCAATCCCATGGGTTGATTTTGACTTATAATGACAGTAGAACTGGCCTATAGGGTTTTCTTGTCTATATTCTATATGGAAACCAGGTCATTCTTCCTTATAGCTATTGTATGGGTTCAAACTGCTGACCTTTTGATTAGCAACTGAGCACTTAACCCATATTTAGCTTGTGCCAATATTTTGTTTTATGTACATACCACAATTGTTTATGTGCTCATCCATATAAAGAAATTATGATATCTACAAATGGATTTCAGAAAGTTTGTGGAAACACAGAACTAGAAGATAATGGAATTTTTCCACAAACTTGTTGAAGTCCTCTCCTGCGCACAATACAGTGTCATGTCATTGATGCACGTTTGGACTGGTTCTAACCTTTGGCTGTTGTACATAGTGATACAGTTAGCATTGGTGTGCAAGTATGTATGTATGAATCCCTGCTTTCAGAAGTCTTTTGAATATATGATTCCATTGAAATTGCTAAGTCGTGTCGTAATTTTCTGTTTAACTTTTTTGAGAAATTGCTAACCTATTTTCCACTGCAGCTACACCGTTTTATAATCCTGCCAACAGCAGATGATGGTTCCACTCTCTATATCCTTTCCTACACTTGTTTTCTACAAATTGCCTTCCTAGTTGGGGTGAAGTATCTTATTATGCTTTTGATGTGCATTTCCCTAATGACTAATGAAAAGAGTTCTGGTAGCGTAGTGGTTACGAGTTGGGCTGCTAACCTCACGGTTAGTAATTGGAAACTACCAGCTGTTCTGTGGGAGAAAGATGAGGCTTTCTGCTCTCGTAAAGATTTACAGCCTCGGAAACCCTATACATGGTCATTAAGAGCCGGAACCAACTCCACGGCACACTACCAATGACTAATGAGAGTCCTGGTTTGCCATTATAGAATAAGCACTGGACTACTAGCTGCTCTTCGGAAACCTATAGAGGTCCCTATGAGTCAGAACTGACTCCATGACACTTAACAAAAACAATAACTAAGCACAAGGTTTTTGGTTCAAACCCAGCAGCCACTCAGTGGTTATGTACTGGACTGCTAGCCACAAGATTGGCAGTTCAAACCCACCAGCCATTCCTCAGGAGAAAGATAAGACTTTCTGTTCTCATAAAGATTTACAGCCATGGAAACCCTATACTGAATCACTGTGAGTTAGAATTTACATAGCTCTTAAGATGAAGTCCTGTTTATTTTTTATTTTTTTTTGCTCATGATAAACCATTGCCAAATCCAAAGTCATGCATATTTGCCCTTATGTTTTCTTCTAAGAGTTTGACTTTCGCTGTGATATTTAGGTCATTGATCCATTTAGAGTTAATTTTTTGTATATGAGAAGTCAATAGGAGCCACCTTCATTGTCTGCATTTAGATGTACACTTGTCCCAGCACTTTTTATTCCTTAGACTTTGGAAAGTGGCCTTGGCATTCTCGTTGAAAATCACTTGTCCATAGATGTTGCTGCTGCTGCTGCTGCCTCTGCTGTGTGATAGGATTTCTGAGGCTATAAAGCATTATGGGAACAGAAAGCCTCATCTTTCTACTGCAGAGCAGCTGTTGGGTTTGAACTACTGACCTTGCACTTAGCAGTCCAGTACATAACCCACTATGCTACCAGGGTTCCTTTACTTATGGAATCTCAATTCTATTCCATTGATAATTGTGTTTGTCCTTATGTTGCTATTATTAAGTTCCGTCGAGTTGGTTCCAACTCTTAGAGACCTAATTTATTTCTGTATGATTTTGAATTATTATAGGATTTCTGAGGAGTGGCTGGTGAGTTTGAACCGCTGAACTTGAGGTTCAAACCAACTTTGAGGTTCAGTGCATTATACTGCAGTGCCATATCAGTACTCCATCCCTATGTTGTTGTTATTAAGTGCTGACAAGTCGGTTCCGACTCATAGCGACCCTGTTTAGGGTTTCTGAGGGGCGACTGTTAAGTTTGAACCACTCACCTTGCGGTTCAACCCAACCTTGAAGTTGAGTGCTTATCCTATGGTTCTTATGTTATTAGCACATTGTTTTGATTATTGTCGCTTTGTAGAAGTTTTGAAATCAAGAAGTTCAAGGCCTTTGCCTTTTTCTCTCTCAAAATTGCTTTGGGTTTTAAGGGACCCTTGCAATACAACCTAAAATATATTTATATGAAATATTTTTAAGAATTAATTTTTCCTCTCCCAGTTCTGTCTCTTAAACCTATTTGTGTATTTGGGCCTAAGATGTATCGCTTAATGACAGAATATAGATGGATCATGTCATTGGATCCTGTAATCTATTTGTATTTATTTATTGATAAAGACTTCTGTCATTTTGTTATTTCTTATCTCTGTGTTTTACAGTCTTTGCTCTTCGTTTTCTCCAATACTGCCATCTTATATTTACGTATTTATTTGTAATATCACTTGATTTACTTCTCATTTCCTTTTATATATATATTTTTAATGTATTTTCTTAGTGGTTACCATGAGATTGCCATTAGCACCCTAAATTTATAACCGTCTGATGTGAATTAGGAATTGACTTGTCTGTAATATTATACAAGAACTTTGCTCCTATTTAGCACTGAACAGCTCCCCCATCCCTATTATGATGCTGTTGTCGTCATAAATTATATCTGTATATTGGAGTCCCAGTAATTTAAATTTGTAATTATGTTTTATGTATATTAGTCTTTTAAATCATGTAGAAAATAATGAAGAGTTGTTAGGTGATGTTGAGTTGGTTCTGACTCATTGCAACGTTGCAAAGGGTTTCCAAGGAGTGGCTAGTGGGTTTGAACTTCTGACCTTGTGGTTACCAGTTGGGTGCTTATCCTACAGCACTGCATCGGGCCCCAATAAGAAGTTATAAACCACAAATCCAGTGTTACTGACTATTAACTGTTGTTGCTACGTACCATTGAATCAGTTCTGATTCATAGCGACCCTACATAGGGTTTCCAGGGAGCAGATAGTAGATTTGAACTACCAACCTTGTGGTTAGTAGTCCAGTATGTTATACCTTTACCAGCTTTCTTTATTTCTGTATGACTTTGAATTATTACCTAGTGCCCTTTCATTCAGCCTGACGTACTCTCTTGTAGTTCTCACATGGCAGGTCTGTCAGCAGACTTTCCAGATGGAATACATAGGAATTAAACACAGAGTCACTACCAAAAAGAATCATTGGGCATTTAACCATGTCAGGAGGTAGCATATGACCAAGAACTGATGGACTGATTGTATTGGAAGAAATCCCAAGTTAACATTGAAGGCATTGACAAAAAACAAAGTTCCAGGAATTGACACACAAAAAAAGTATGCAAACCTGGAAGTATTTACTCATCTGTGCCAAGAAATTTAGAAAACAGCTGCCTGACCAGCCATCTGAAAGAGATCCACACATGTGCCCATCCCAAAGAAAGGAGATCCACCAGAACACAGAATTTATCGAGCAATATCATTAATAATCACACACGAGTAAAATTTTGTGAAAGATCATATAAAAACAGTCACAGTAGTACTTCAGCAGGGTACTACCAGGAATTCAAGTTGAATTCAGAGAGAACATGGGCCAAAGGTTATCATTGTTAACATCAGATGGGTTTTGATTGAAAGCAAAGAATACCAGAAAGCTGTTGTGTTTTATTGACTATGCTAAGGCATTTGACTGTGGATCATGACAAATTATGGAACATTGTGAAGAGCGGCAATTCCAGACCACTTAACTGTGCTCATACAGAACCTGTATACACACCAAGAGACAGTTTTTGGAACAGAACACGGAGATATGCTTGGTTTTAAATCCAGAAAGATATTTGTCAGGGTTATGTCCTTTCCCCATGGTTATTCATTCTTATGCTGAGTAAATAATTCGAGAAGCTGAACTGTATGAAGAACACAGCATCCAAATTGGAGAGAAGATTCATTAACAAACTATGATATTCAGATGACACAGCCTTTCTTGCTGAACGTGAAAAGGACTTTAAGCACTTCCTGATGATCAAAGAGTACATACAGCCTTCAGTATGACTTGTACTTCAACATAAAAAGAAAACAAAAATCCTCACAACTGGACCTGTAAGCAGCATCTGGATAAATATAGACATATTAACTTTATTGAGGATTTCGTTTTACATGGCTCTACAATCAACACCCGTGGAAGCAGCAGTTCAGAAATCAAATGATATATTGCACTGGCCAATATCTGCTGCGAAATAATTCTGTGATATATTGAATTACCTAATCTTTTAGCCACAGTCTATAACTCCCACGAAACAATGTTTGTGCCCTGTTGGGTCTGCATAAGAGAAGGGGTGAAAAGGTGCATTACAGGATGCTATGATTGAGCTGTGGATGTTAACAAACTTAATTGTAATTGTGAAATCTTGAAACTCTAGCGTTGATATAAAATAAATCCTTCTCC